GGTGAAGACGCATGCCGACGCCCTGTCGCTAAGGCAGGGGTGGCTTTGTACACGTGTGACTTGGAGCTTACAGAAAATATTAGCTTAAGCTTCTTAGTAGCTTATTCTGCGCAGAATCAGCAGAGCATGCTCAGGTTTCCGAGTCCCTATCCTTATGGTGGTAATATGGAGGGGTGCATGACTCTGCAGCGGCCCGGTCTTGGCCAGTCTGTGAGGTGAAGGTCATGGTCACAGGAGGTCCACGCCTGGATGGACCAGCTCACTCGGGGAGATAGGGAAAAAGGGAGAGGGGGGGAGGAGTATGAGTGCCCACGGGTGCCGGGACGGCTTTCCTGTGGACCCAAGACGGAGCGTTTTCTGTGCTTCTGCAGACTGTGATGTGTGGGGCTGGGGGGTGAGGGACTCACCGGCCTGCAGGGGAGCAGTCAGCCGGGAGCCATGCTAGCGAGAACTTGTGATGGGGCGGCCGTGCAGACGTGCACAGCCAGGACAGAGACAACCACGATGCCTGACCGTGGTCTACGGAGACAGCTACATGCCCAGCCTTCTGGGCAACCCAACGCAGCTCCCATTTCGTCCTTTTGGGCCGGCAGATGGTATGGTGGTTAAGGGCACTGGACTCCCATGTGGCCGACTGAGGTTCGAGTCTTGCTTCCTCATTCTCTCTCTCTCCCATTCTGTCCCACTCTGGTCATATTAAAATAAATTAATAAATAAAGTTAAATAAAATAATTCTTTCAAAGAAAAAGAAGTCTGGTTGAACAAACTCTTGGAAAAAAATTTTCATTCATTTTTTTTTTTTTTTTAGAGAGGTTTTTGCTATAGGGTGCGTGTGCTCGCCAGAAAGACAGAGAGAGACAGAGAGACAGAAAGCGAGAAATCACCCCCCAGGGGGGATGGTCATGCCACAATCCCTTCTCCTCCATTCTCCTCTCGGGATCTTGGGCACGCACACACACGCGCCTGGCATGAGTTTAAGCCACTGGGTCCGGGATTCGAACCGCAGTCGACTACGTGGGAGTCCAGCGACATAGCCATTAAGCTAACTGCTGATGCCATAGAGTGATTTTCAAGCCACCAGGTCCGGGATGCAAACTGCACTGGTAGCCACGTGGGATCCAGCTGCCTGAACCTCCCCGCCACTTGCTGACCCACTTCCTCCTTCTACGTGAACCCTCGACTTGCTTGGTCAAGTGAAGTTCATCTATATTGGGTCCCTTCTCTACAGGTAAACAGCACGTAAATAATGAACTCAGTGGTGTTTATTTATTTGCTAGAGGCTGCAGATGCTTACCAGAGAGAAACAGAAAGAGAGAGAGAGGGAGGGGAGAAGGTGCGCCCCGCGGCGAATGGTCGTACCGCAATCCCTTCTCTTCCTTTCAAGATTTTGGGCACCCGTTCATGTGTGCCCAGGGTGTTTCTCAAGCCAGGACTTGAACCCTGTGATTGGCTGTGTGGGATCTGGCTGTCCTAACCACCAGGCCACAGAGCTGGCCTTAGTTACCATCTGACCTTAGTCTCTGTCTGGTTTGGCATGTCATTTAACCTCTTAGTCTCAATTTTCTCCTCTGTACTGCGGAGACAGCAGCTCTCACCGCTGGGACGCTTACAAGGATTAAATGAGATAATCCACAAAACAGCCACACACATGCCTGCCACGTAGTAGGTGTTATTCCTACCATCACTATCAGTTGAACCAGTTTCCTTTAACTGCCATAACTGGTTCCCACAGATGAAGCAGCTTCAAACAACACACATGTATTCTCGCAGACTGCTGGAGGGTCAAGTCTGAATCGAGCCTTCCCAGGCTACTCGACAGAACATGTCAGCCACGCTGCCTTCCTTCCAGAGGAGGATCCGTTTGTCTGTCTTTTCCAGCTTCTAGTGAAGCAGAAGCTCCGCCATGTTGAACTCCTCTCCATATTGGAAGCCTGCCTTCTCCTTTTGCCTGGAATAAACAGAGTGAGTAACACTCCTACTGTCTTTGCTAAGTAACCTGAAACTCCCTACCTTAAGATGTCCCTTAGTATGTAACAGTCTTCAGACCCCTTGCCCTGAGCCGTGAAGACCAAGAAGATGCCACTGTGCCTGTGTAAGGATTAAAAGTCCCTAACCCTGGGAACCAGCAGTTAGCGTAATGGCTATGTCACTGGATTCCCACGTAGTCGACCATGGTTCACGTCCCGGACCCGGTGGCTTAAACTCACACTGGGCGCATGTGCGTGCATGCCCAAGATCCCGAGAGGAGAATGGAGGAGAAGGGATTGCGGCGTGGCCATCCCCCCTGGGGGGTGATTTCTCGCTTTCTGTCTCTCTGTCTCTCTCTGTCTGGCGAGTGCATGCGCCCTATAGCGAAAAAAATAACCTCTCCAAAAAAAAAAAAAGTCCCCAACCCTAAAGATGCCCCAGGTGGGACCAGCGGTTGGTGTAATGGCTATGTCACTGGAATCCCATGTAGTCAACGATGGTTAGAGTCCCAGACCCGGTGGCTTAAACTCACACTGGGCGCATGTGCGTGCATGCCCAAGATCCCGAGAGGAGAATGGAGGAAAAGGGATTGCGATATGGCCATCCCCCCTGGGGGGCGATTTCTCATTTTCTGTCTCTCTGTCTCTGTCCTTCTGGCGAGTGCACGCGGCCTATAGCAAAAACCTCCCAACTCCCACACCCCAAAAATAAAGGGCTCCTGTAATTTGACTGTGTCTGGAGGCCCTCTCAGTTCTCGCTGAGTAGACTGTGAGTAAACTATAACACTACAGGCCCTTTGCATTCCTCGGCAATGACCCCATCTTCCTTCTCCAAAGCCACTCTGATGTCACTCATGGACACTCAGCCTCCTGCCTCCCGATTACAAGGAGGGTTGTAATGACAATGTTCCTACCTGTGAACTCTGGGCTAATCCTCCACCAATATATTTAAGTTTTTTCTTTTTACAGAACTATTTTATCTAACTTTATTTATTTTTTACATTTCACCAGAGAGGGACAGAGAGGGAGACAGAGATGGAAAGCGAGAAAGTAAGCCACAGGACTCGAACTGTGGTTGGCCAGGTGGAAGTGTCCAGCACCTTAACCACCATGCCACCTGCTGGCC